CTTGATTTCAGAATATGGTTAATTCATTTGTATTTTATTGAAATGTTTGAATTAAAGAGAGATGCGCTCAAGATTGGAAAGTGATGAATCCATATTCATATATTTGAAGTCTTAAAAATAATATCTCAAATGAATTAAAAAAAATAAATTTTAGGATGGAAACTTTAGAAAAGAAAATTGTATTTTCAAAATTCAACTTTCATGACTAATTTTTTTTCTTTTTTATGATGAAATATTACAAATGAGCAATATTTTTATACTAAATTTGTTACATAAGAATTAATTGTTAATACATGAATTTAAACACCCATTAAAATTCCTAAATACATTAAGACATAAATTTATCTATAATAACTCTAGAATTATGTATATCAAGATTCATCAAGTCAAAATTCATTGAATTTAGATTAAAGTAAATGTTGATTAATAGCAAAAAAAATTTATATGACAATGATTTTATAGTATTTATTACAAATTGAAAAAACGAAAAAAGGTAAAGAATTATTGAAATAATTGAATTGCAGCAGAGTTAAAATGTCCAAAAAAATGATTTTCATTTTATATGATATTTAATATATTATAGATGATATGCAACCGTAGGCTACGAACGTTTGAGGCCATGTTGGTCTCCTCCAAGGCATTTTTTGGCCTTCGATTTGTTTTGCACTTTCGTCCTATTATTGTTCATTCTCACCAAGTTTTCCCAATTATAATATGGCACAAAGCATATGTCGTTGTATGTTTTGAGCAACTACAATAGGAATTCGTATTTCTATTGAGAGAATTAAAATTTTAACCTTCATTGATAAGTTTTTGAAGAACTTAAAATCTTCAAACAGTAATTGTTGACCTCGTTTTTTGTAAGGTTGACATGAACAACGGATGTCGGGCCCATTTTAGTTCATGCAAGCAAATATCAACACGTTTCGACCAGAGATTTGGATAGAAAAAGTTGATGTTTTATGGACGTGGGAGATCCTCTATAACGTGAGACGAAAGTTTTCAAGTGCCGACAATATAATCAAATATGATTGCATATTAATGAACAATTACAAACAACTTAACCAAAATAATCTAAACTCAAGCAAACAAGTATGAAGTAAGCAAGAGAGAAGATCATGTGAGGTTTTAAGTATAAAGAGTTGCATTAAATTCAAATGTTACGAGAGTTGCTATTTATAGAGTTTTGGTCGAAGTGGTAGGCATTGGATAAAAACCACGTGGCCTCATTTTCTAGGTCAAAACCTCACATCACTTAGTCTGGTACGAATTTAATACATTGACAATATGGTTAGTCACACTACACCTTAAGCGACAATCCTAACATTCATTATAACAAACGTTACATCAATCATTGATAAAGATTGTCGGCAGATCCTCATAAAGGACTTCATCCAAAGAGAATTTTGGATTGGAGGTCTTCGATGTGATTCGTGTGAAGAGATTCGGTACAGAGAGTTTCGATTTCTTTACTTTGAGCAATTGAGGTCTTTGTTGATTTCCTCAACCTTGACTCATATTTTCACGTCGACCCTCGATGATGAGTCGTTACAATAATTATGTTTGCAACAAAAATATCAGCTCATTTTTCTTTTATTATTAATAGGTTTAAATTCAATAAAAAAACTATACTCACAACAAAAGTGGAGTGTTTCGATGGAAAGAAAAAACACTGAAGTGATTGATAGATTGTGACATGACTTATTTCTTTCTCCCAGTAGTAGGATAATACAAATGACTTTAAGAAGTCAAAATCATAATACGAAATTGATTAAAATCATCAATTGTAGGAGAAATATAGAGTATTGTTATTCATAATCAGCGACTATAATATTCATCACACGTGGGTGACGTAGCATTATTAAAAGTTATTCATTTTCTAAAATATTAAAATTAAGTCAAGTAGGATAACTATTGGAGTCACCTACTATAAACAATATTATTAAGAAAGATAAGGTCATTTAACTCTAACAACTCACTAATAACATTGAACATATTTAAAGATTCCAAAATCAATTTTGGTTGAATAATATACTTCATAGTGAAATATGATTTTCTTTACTCTTTCATATTTGATGA